TCAAAAAAAATATACAAATATTACTTCCCGTTTTTTAGATAACCTCTGGTGCCCGCTATTTGAAAATAAGAAATCTGGAATGTTTTCCCAATGCAAAATTTATCAAGAACCACACATGCTCTATGAAAGCTGTTAATCGTTATAAAACCGTCTGCAATATGGATTTCGTTTTGGAAATGCCTCTACATAACGTCACAGTAATAATGAAGATTTTCATATTTTCCAAAAATGCTTCCCTTTTTTTATTTTTTCTATTTTTTGTTAGGTTAATTTTGCCCAATACAATCGCAACGATGCCGGACGTTTTGTTCCAGATTTGGTAAATGTAACTGCAAACATATGTCAGATGTTCAAGAAGACATCATTTGGTATCTATGCAAATATTTTTAAAAAAATTATCTCCTCCTATACCTCGCTAAATCATTCATGTCCCTATACGGTAAGTATTACATTGGAGGATATTTTTTTCGTTTTGAGTAATAATTCCCATTTATAGGATGCAATAACCGTTAGAAATCTATTTTTTGATCTGAATCTATATCCGGTTCCCCTTTTGCGCCGTTCATATAAATATTTGATAAAAATGTTCGAAGGTCCCCTTAGGGAGGAAATTATTACATTGGCCATTTATAGCGATTACATTGAAACCAGGGAGTGAAGTGCGTGAGGTATTATTCCAACCATTCACTTTTTAGAATCAAGATCTTTTCATTGATTTCAATAAATATAAATATTTCAAAATGTTGAGCTTTTTATTTTTGGAGTTTTATACCTGTCCAATGTATTTATAACACAAGCGATTATATTCTTTTTAATTCGCCCAAGGTGTAGACGCGTTGAAGATATATTGTTCGATAAATGTTCTTAAAAATTGTAATAGTACTATGGATTTTTGGGTTTTTATATATGGCGTTATCTCAAATATGAAAAATCATAAGAAGATTTGGACCGATATATCCCCTCTTCACAGAATATCTTGTGTTAGAAGAAATAATGGAATGTGTGAAATATGAAGACAATCGGACTCTTGCGTTACATTTTATAAGAGTTATAGTTTTCCAAAAGATTGACACTTTGTCCATTTTGATTCATATGTGCCATTGTCTAAGGTTCGATCGTGGCATGTCTGACTCCAATATTTGCATGGTGTTCTCCATAAATGCTGGGTGTCGACGTTGACATCGAACCATGTGTGTCATCTGCACACATGTGTACGTGTGCTTAAGTTGAGAGTGTGTGTGCGTGTTACTTTCGGCGGTGAGTATGTGTTTTTGTGTGTGCTGTAATTTCGAAGTAACAAACACGGAATAAAAATAAAATTGAGAACCAAACCAATAATTAAAACCAGTAAAGAAAGTCTTAAAGTCGGGCGGGGCCGACTTTATGATACCCTACACCACTTTGCTAATTTAGTAGAGCTCCACATAACAATTAAAAGTTTTTATGGGATAATTCAATCATACACGCTATGATTATAATTATAAATTAAAGTTCAAAGGACTAAATATGCCGAAGCATTTGTATCTTTTAAATTCGGAATTGCCCATTTGGTGCACAATTAATTTGAAATCGGATAAAGATATATTGGAGCTATATCCAAACCTGAACCGATCTCGATAAAATTTGGCGAAAATATTTCTGAGCTGTATTTGATATATTTCCCTGAATATCGTTGTTACGGAGTGCATGTTACGGTTGTGGGTAAGAAATATAACAAATCGGATGAATAATATATATGGAAGCTATAGCTATATCTGAACCGATCTTCACCAAATTTGACATACTAGCTTCTAGACTCAATTCGGTCGTAAGTGGCAAATTCCATCCCATTTGGACAAATATTAGACGTTTGGTGCACAATAAATGGTAAATCGGACGAAGTTATATATGGGAGCTATATCCAAATCTGAACCGATCTCGATTAAATTTAGCAAATGTATTTCTGAGCTGTATTTGATATGTTTCCCCAAATATTGTTGTTGCAAAGTGTATATTACGGCGGCGGTGGACAAAAATAACAAATCGGATGAACAATATATATGAGAGCTATAGCTATATCTGAACCGATTTCGATCAAATTTGGCATAATTATATTCAGGCATAATTTAGGTGCATATGCAAAATTCCATACAATTCTGACTGATATTACACGTTTGGTGCACAATAAAAGGCAAATCGGACGAACATATATATGGGAGCTATATCTAAATTTTGACCGATTATCTCCAATTTCAATAGGGTTCGTCCTTGGGCCAAACAAAATTCTGTGCAAAATTTCATCTCGATCGGGCAATAAATGCGACCTGTACCTTGTTTACAAAAATACATGGACAGACGGACGGACGGACATGCATAAATCGACTCAGAATGTGATTCCATGCAGATCACCAAAAGGAACTATGGGTCTATCTCGTTTCCTTTTGCCTGTTACAAACAAATGCACAAAGACATAATACCCTGACCACCTTGTGGTGTAGGGTATAAAAAATGATTCTTATCAATAACAAAATAAGCATAAACATCAAAAAAATAATAGAAACAAGTAAAAAAAAAAACATTAAGTTCAGCCGAGCCAAACTTTTAATACCCTCCACCTTAGGGTAATGGAAACATTAGAAGAAATGTGGCAAAAACCATTAAAATGCCGAATATCGGGAGGTAGCGTTATATGGGGGCTATACCAAATCATGGACTCATACATGCAATGTTTCGCCACCGGAACCACATCCCAATATTCCATTCGGCTCATATTGAAAAATGAGCTCGGTGTAAAGGCATTGAAATTCCAAAAAGTGCAAGAACTTACACCGCAACAGGAAGAAAATAGACTCAAAAGAGTTGCTTCGCTTGGTTCCTCGCTTCATTTCCAGCACACATGGCCGCAAAAATCTCCGGATACCAAAACGTTGGACTAATGTATCTGGAGTATTTTGGAAAGCAAGGTTGGCACCAAAAAAATACCAAGATGTAGATCGCCTCAAGCAAGCGCTTTGCAGAGAATGGTCCAAAATACCACAGAGCAACAGTCGAACAGCGTGTGACGGTTTCATTGGCCGTTTGAAGGTCATAATTCGTGCCAAATGTGACCAATTCGAACAAATCTGAACTTATTCTAAAATTTTATGCTATTTTCCAATTTTTTGTTTTCATTCAATAAAATTTAAAAAAAAATGTAAAATTGATGACGTTTGACTTTGTTTTAGTTTTTTTTTTGTCTCACCCTGTACAACAGATCGTGGGTCAGAAATAATATTTGTGTATGTAAATTTTGAAGAGAACTGGATGCCTTTTTCGCTTTCTTTGAACGTTTAGTTTTTCAAAAATCTTGAACCCTATGCGGGAAGGTACCAGAAGAATTGACCCGATCTCTACCATATTTTTAAAAGATCTTGTGTTGATGGAAATATTTTGAGTTGCCAAGTCTGAATGGAATCGGATGTTAATTTCGCGTTTTATGAGCTTCATGGGTATTCACAATTTTGACTCTTTATAGTTTGGACAAGAGGGAATGAACCGACATATCCCATCATCATAGCAGATTTTGTGTTAGCGGAAATTATGGGATGTATGAAATACAAAGAGAACCGGATGCTTATTTCCGATTTTATAATAATGAGCTTCATGGATATTTAAAATTTTGACCCTTTGTGGTGAAGGTACTGGAAGGAGTGAACCGATATATCCCATTACCCAGTCTCTGGGTTAATGAAAATAGGTTGATGTGTGTGTTAATTTGAAGACAACCGGATGCTTATTTCGGATTTTATGATCGTTTTGGTTATTCAAAACTTCGACCCTTTGTGGGGGAGTTACCAAAAGAAATGAGCCGATGTCTACCATATTTAGAACAGATCTTGTGTTGATGGAAATGTTGTGATGTGCCAAGTCTGAATGGAATCGGATGTTAATTTCGAGTTTCATGGATATTCAAAATGTTGTGGGGAAGGTATCAGAAGCATTCGACCTAAATATTGCATTTTCACACCAGACCTTATGTTAATAAAAATATTGTGATATGTGTTAATTGAAGACAATCGGGCACTTACATTACATTTTATAAGAGTTATAAATATTAACACTTTGACCTTTGTGTGACAGGTACTTCATAGTAGTGGACGGATATTGTTTATTTTCGCACCTGATCTAGCACTGTTGCAAATATTAGGATTCGCAAAGTTGGAGCAAAATCGGATTATCCTTTCTCTTTCTGTGACATTTTGGTGTGCAGGTACCAGAAGGAGTGGACCGATATTGCCCATCTCCGAACTCGATCTAAGTTTTATAATAATATTACGATGTACCAAGTTTGTGTCAAATCGGATAATCCATTCAAGAGTTGTTGTATGCACCAGCTAGACGGACGGACATCGCTGAATCGACTCGAAATGTCCTGAAACGGATTTGGTCCAAAGAGACCTAAAGTCTAAAGCCGTTATTTCAACTAGACACATTTTGGCCGCATCAAGTGATATATATGGCCATATGATTGAGGATATAATAATAATGTAGCAAAGTTATTTGTCGGACCCTTTACATATATGGATGTATGTATTCATCCCGCACCAGCACCACCACCACCACTTGTAACACTTTTAATTCCAAATTGTATCTGTGTCACTTTTTATTATTCTCCATTCGAAGTAGTTGTTGGCTGGTTGCTTGCATTTCTGGGGCGCCAATGCTTGTAAACGCTTGTAAACGATTTAACACACACACACACACGCACACTTACCTGGTGACAATTCCTCGGTAATCCCTTCAATGGTAACTGTAAAAAGTGTCAACATGACAACTGACACGACCAACCATTGATGCTGGAAAAAATGATGCCAACGTTGTTGTTGAGTCCATTGTTGAAGTTTTCGTTTAGTCTGATGACGGTTATGTGGCTCCCCCTGCTTCTGATGTAATACGGAGAGCGCGTCTCTTGTTTGCCCTCGATGAAAATGTTGACGCTCTGTTTGTTGTTGATGCTGCTGCAGGGGCCCGAACATTTCAAATGTTGTTGTTGTAGATTTAAGTTTTTGCAATGTTTTATTTTTGATTTTTGCTTTTGCCGACTGCTGATGTTGCTGCTGCTGACTCGGTACTGTCATGTAAAACAAGTGTTTTAATTTACAATGTATCCAAATTAGTTTCAATCTCTTTTGGATTTGTTTGTTGCCGAATGTGAGTTTTCGAAATAGTTTTCAAGGGCGGCGATTATAGGACGAATTTAACAACAATTGTTGGACCTGTGGAAAAAAGGATTTAATTATTGATGAAATTATTAAAATAGGCTTTGAATATGTAGAGAAAATTAAAATACTTCTCCTGGAGATTTTGTTTGATCTAACTAAATTATGAAGCCTTGTTTAGTCAAAATATTCGCCATTGAAACTTATTTCTGGAAAAATCAATTAAATCAACAGAGAAAGCATTTGCCTGTTCACCGACACATACAGGGTTGCCCATATTCGACGGACCCATCTGGCAACGCCATAACTTTTGACAGAGATGTCACATCGCTTAATGACATACCGCGTTTGAAGAGTCAGTCCAAGCAGATTTTTACCATGAACTAATACACGCCACGCGAGCGCTCTGAAATAGGTGAAATGTACATTCTACAGAAGAAGTCAATTGTGAAAAAAAAAAAAAAAAAAAAAAAATTTTGACTGGTAGGGCTCTTTCTAATCCGAAGAGGCCATATAAAAGTCGACCAAGCTGATCGGCCGAGAATATCGCTGCCGTACGAGCCAGTGTTGAGAGGTCCCCAAGAACATCCCAAAAACTCCGTTCTCAGCAGTTGGGCATGGCTCGGTCCACTTTACAACGGATTATTCGCATTGATTTGCATTTGTTCCCGTACAAAATTCAATTGACGCAAAGACAAGCCTCGTCGATTGGAATGGGCCCAAAGGTCCGTCGAATATGGGCAACCCTGTATATACCAAGACCAAGGGGGACCCTCACACAAAACTTCAAGATTGTAACTTAAGTATATACATAGTGATTGACTGACTGACTCAAACGGCAAAATTTCGGGTGAGGGTCACTCTTGGTCCGAAGGAGTCAGAATAAGGCTGGGTTTATGGAAATTCGTACTAGAACGGTACGAAAATTACAAAAAGGTACTAAATATGGTAGCCTTTGTACCAGTAGAGCTAAATTTGGAATGAACGTCGCTGATGGAGTGTATGATAGATGTACCAAACGGAATTTGCACTATAAGTGTACGAAAATTAGTAAAATGTACTACATTTGGTACTATTTCGTATCATGTTGATGGTTAGAGCTAAAAACGTTATATTTGGAATGGGAATCAAGATTGAAGGTTAGGGCCGATATAAGGAGGTAGTTTTGGAAGTATATGAAAAGTACTAACGGTACTAAAATTGGTTCAATTTGAATTTGGAGGAACGGATTGGGCTGGAATCCTGTAATCTGTTGGGGTGAAGAATAGGGAAATATAGAGGTAATTTCCGAAATTACCTCTATGTTGTACTTATGTGCAAGAACTAAATACTACTAAATTTAGTACAATTACGATTTGGGTGAACGGATAGAGCTGGAATACTCACATTTGAAAATAAGATTACCATAGCAATGTAGTATTGAAATATGGACGTACTTTGGAAATTTGTACTTATATGATTATGTAATGAATTTGGTACAAGTTGTATTTGGGTGAACCGATAGGGCTGTAATCCTGAAATTAGGATAAAAGATTTATATTGGATTGTATGATAGAGGTAGTTTTAGAAATTTGTACTAAATGTGGTATGGATTGGATTTGTTTGAACCGATGGGGTTGGAGTCCTGAAATTCGGAATTAAAACTACTGTTGGAGTATGAGATTGGGTTATGTATCCTATATAGAGGAGTCAACAATGAGTGACTAACCGATTCATCAACGCCCAGGCGAAACGGCAAAAGCTAGAATCTTGAAACTTTGCATGTGGGACAATGGTGGTGAGTAGGGTGAGATAAGACTGGGTTTTCGAAAATTCGGACAGAAGTATACTGAAAGTACTTAATTTCGTAAACTTTGGCATTTGGTGAACTAAAATATTGACATTTAGTATAAACATTATGTTTGGGAAGTAGTGTTGTTATAAGTGTTTCTAAAAATATGTACTAAGCGTAATAACTGTACTAAATAGTACTAAATTCAGTACAATGTTGGTAGCGTACGAAAGGTACTAAATGGTATTTAATTTTGTACTGTGTAAACGAGTACTGCTTGAAATCTGAAATTTGGCATTGGGACCGCTGTTAGTGTATAGGTTTGAGATTTGGAGGTAGTTTTGAAAAAAAGTACTAAAAAGTACTACATTTGGTATTTGGGTTAGGGATTGAGTTAAACGTCTAAAAAATGACATTAGGATCTCTTTTTGTGCTGTTTGTTGATACATGGCGGGGAAGTTAGATTTACGTACTACAAATTAGGAAGAAATAGAGCTGGAAATCTGATATTTGGAACGAGAGTCTTTGATGTTGTAAAATCTTGAAATTTGGTAGAGAATCAGTTCAGGCAAATGGGAAAGGAGGTGTTTTTGGAAAAGTTTACTAAGTGTTGGATGAACGGTAGAAGCTGGAAATTTAAAATTTTGTATTGGGGTCCCTCTTGATGGTTGGTTTGTTATAAGGAGGTTATTATTTTGAAATGTGTATTACAAGCACATATGTACGAAAAGTATTAAAGTGTATCATATTTGGTATAATGCGGTATTCGGTGAACAGGTAATGCTTAAAATGTATATCCTAAACTTATGGAGGTGGTTTCGAAAATGTATACTATATTTTTGTACGAAAAATATTGAATTGTACTATACTTGGAATTAGGTGAAAGGATGTAAATACAATTCTGAAATTTGATATTAAAATTAATGATGGTATCTGTGCTTGAGATTTGGCGGTGGTTTGGAAATGCGTCCTATATTTGTCCGAAAAGTATGGTACTGAATTTGGTATCTGGTGGTGGTTTTGGTATGCGTACTAAATGTTTACACATGGACACGTTGACATAGTTTTGGACAAAAAAATTGGATATTGGATATGAGAGGTCCGTTACGATAAATTCCGAATTTAACTAGAGCCACGAATTTAAGAGAGAAAATAACATAGCTATGTTAGCTTAACAGAGCTACATAAAAATTGTTTTTTCCTTAATATTTTTTATACCCTCCACCAAAAAAGGTATGGAGGGTATATTAACTTTGTCATTCCGTTTGTAACTCATCGAAATAATTATTTTAGACCCAACAAAGTATATATATTCTTGATCAGCGTAAAATTCTAAGACGATTTAGCCCTGTCCGTCCGTCTGTCCGTCTGTTGTAATCACGCTACAGTCTAAACGAATTAAGATAGGAAGCTAAAATATTGCACAGATTTCTCTTTTGTCTGCAGGCAGGTCATGTTCGAAGATGGGCTATATCGGTCCACGATATCGTATAGCCCCCATATAACGGTACCCCCGATATTCGGTATTTTGATGATTTTACCCACATTTTTCAACGGAATTGTCTGAAAATCCACACAAGGAGTTCCTTGTGGGCACTTTATACCTCGGCAGAGAATTATATATATAGGTTCACAATATCGTATAGCCCCCATATAACGGTACCCCCCGATATTCGGTATTTTGATGATTTTACCCAAATTTTTCAACGGAATTGTCTGAAAATCCACACAAGGAGTTCCTTGTGGGTACTTTATACCTTGGCAGAGAATTGTTCATATAGGTCCACGATATCGTATAGCCCCCATGTAACGGTACCCCCGATATTCGGTATTTTGATGATTTTACCCACATTTTTCAACGGAATTGTCTGAAAATCCACAGAAGGAGTTCATTGTGGGTACCTTTTACCTCGGCAGAGGATTATCTATATAGGTCCACAATATCGTATAGCCCCCATATAACGGTACCCCCCGATATTCGGTATTTTGATGATTTTACCCACATTTTTCAACGGAATTGTTTGAAAATCCATAAAAGAGTTCCTTGTGGGTATTTTATACCTCGGCAGAGAATTATCTATATTGGTCAACAATATCGTATAGCCCCCATATAACGGTACCCCCCGATTTTCGATATTTTGATGATTTTACCGACATTTTTCAACGGAATTGTCTGAAAATCCACAATCAAATTATAGGAAGGTCCGGCCAGTTCCGAGGTATATGGTCATTTCTGGAGGTATCCTTGGAACAGGATAACTTCATTTGTCAATATGCCTTCCAGGACAATTCTGCCGGCACAATATGGGTACCTACAGAAAGCTTATGAAGTCTACTATCCATTGGCATTAACAAAATTATAGGAAGGTCCGACCAGTTCCGAGATATATGGTCATTTCTTGAGTTATCCTTGGTCAATATGCCTTCCAGGACAATTCTGCCGGCACAATATGGGTACTTACGGAAAGTTTATGAAGTCTACTATCCATTGGTATTAACAAAATTATAGTTAAATTCGGAATTTATCGTAACGGACCTGGATATGAGCACATTGGGCAATGGTTTTACAAAATGTCAAAATGAAGTGTTTGAAGACTTTTTGGTGTGAAATGAAAACATTTTCTTTCCGAAGAAGGTAAAACTTGAATAATATATAAAAACTTTGATGTCCGAATATTTAGTACAATGCATAGAGTTGTCTTAGAACGACACTAAAATGTGAAGGTGGACTTTCGCGCACGAAGTAACGCACTAGTATATTTATACCTAAAAAAGTTCAAATTTTTGCCCAAGAGAATTCTAGAATTACAAAAAATGTCCAGAAAGTTCTCAAAAAAGAAAATCATTACTACTAGTCCTTGAAAAACAGTATTTTAAAAACCCAGACCTTTTCTAGATGTTGAAAAAAATGATTTAACAAATCTACGCCTCTAGTTATCCGTTCCGTTAAACATATTTTAATAAAATGCACTGCTCTGTTGGTCTTAACATTTAAAAAAAAAATCCATATCTTCCATATCCAAATTCTCCTCCAAGGCCCTACTAATCTTACTATTGTGTTATTTCTGGCAAAAATTACAACAAAAATCCACTACTGTTGTTGACAAAAGTTATTACAAAAATCCAGAAATAGAGTTCTACAAATATTTTAAAAATTATTTAATAACCTATGAGTCGAGTTCCACTAGTCTTACAAAAAAAAACATTTTAAAAAGCCAAGACTCTCGCAATACTAAAAAAAGTATTAAGTAATTCCACGATTCTAGGTCCTCTACTCCTTGAATAA